TTTCGGAGAACATTCCGGAACAACGGTCCGGACTATTCCAGACTGCAATGACTATATTCCGGACAGACGCACTCTGTAATACCATTCAGAAACAGTTTTACGTATTCTGACCGGGTTTTTCATATTCCGAACATGATCTTCGTATTACGGATTCTTTTCCAGACTATTTCAGAATAATGATTTTTTAAAGATTTGTTGTTCTAGTGCACACATATACCCACATATAATCCTACAATAACCTAAGAACCGATAAAAATCGAAGGAAAACGAATAATACCTATGTAAACGCATCAAATCATACAAAATAAACGAAAATATCTACTTTTTAACATATAATCATAAATAAAAACTTATAATTATAAAAATAGTCAAAACATACCCACAAAAACTAAATCTCTCCATTGCTAGAATAAGACATTGTTTAAGTAAGATGTTGTCCGAAATCTTGTCCGGAATGAAGGTGAGTTCGAAATAAAGTTTGAAACGAAAGTGGATTCGAAATGTTATTCATAAGGAGGGTTACATTACCGGGTCGGATCACTATACTCGTTTACCCATTTTGAAATACAGGTCCGGAATAGACATTACGGACGAATGGTCATTTTCCAAATTCATTTTATTGAGGTTATTTAAAAAAAACCACTAAAATGTTGTTAGATTACTCAATTTTTTTATATTAAATAATAATATAATTATCATTCAATTATTCAAAAGAAAACATTCATTTTTATTTATTTACTTTTATATCTGCGACTAATATTAAATATGATTTACCAATAAATTTATAATTTACATATTCCAGTAAAATAATTGAAATGGTTATAAACATTTAAATACACTTTGATCAAGTTTTAAATCAATTTATCCAAATTTCCTAATTCAATCAGTTCGATCCATTAACAACAAACTTAAACCAAAGTAACCATATCTCTGCATCAATCTACAACCACATAAAAACTGTTAGGTAAAATATGAAAGGTTGAAAACATGCGGCTTTCACATTTGAGTACTATTGTTACGACGACTCAACATTTGCGGCTTTCACATTTGAGTACTATTGTTACGACGACTCAACATTTGCGGCTTTCACATTTGAGTACTATTGTTACGACGACTCAATTTCATGTGCAAATTGCGGCTCTCTCACCTATATATATGCATGTATGTTTTGCATATTTTGTGTGCAAAAAAAAAAAAAAAAAAAAACTTGAGAGAACATCAAGTGTAGAGTGTCAAGCCAATTGTAATCTTGTGAGTTTTAATAAAATTCTCTAGTTGCAGCCCGTGGATGTAGGATTTGCACCGAATCCGAACCACGTAAAATCCTTGTGTTCTTCTTGCTTTATTTTCGTGAGTTTGTGTGTGTGTGATAGTGTGTTTCCGCTGCGTGTACCCGGTCCGGTTCCTAACAACTGGTATCAGAGCCTGGTTAGCGAGATTTGGAGGGTACGATCGTTTTTTTTATCACGCACGAGTGTACCTGATTTGTATCTTGTTTGTCATAATGGCTGAAGACAAGGTTGTAATCGAAAAGTTCAACGGTTCTGATTTTAGCTGGTGGAAAATGCAACTAGAAGCATTGCTATGTCAGAAAGACTTGGACGTGGTACTCGGAGACAAACCGGAGAAAATGGAAAAAGCTGCTGAAGATGCGTGGAACTCAAAGGACAAGAAAGCCAAGGCGGTTATTACATTGTCGTTGACGAAGAGCGTTGCTTTCAACATCATGAATGAAACCACGGCACGTGGTATGATGGAGGCTCTGTCAAATATGTATGAGAAACCATCGGCGGCTAACAAGGTGTTCTTGATGAAGGAGCTGTTCACTACAAGGATGAATGAGGAAGGCTCAGTTACGGTTCACATTAACAATCTAAATTCAATTCTGTCCAGATTATCATCTGTGGGAATTAAATTTGATAACGAGACTCAAGCATCACTGCTACTAGCTTCTCTACCTGATAGCTGGTCCGGAACAGTTACTGCTGTTACGAGTTCCGTGGGGACCAGTGGTATGACTTTTGAAGGGGTTAGAGATTTGGTTCTAGGCGAGGATATCAGACGCAAGAATCAAGGTGGATCTTCCTCTTCTGATTTATTAAATGTCGGAAGAGGTAGAGGGAATAGCAGGAATAGTGGAAGCAGTGGGAGTCGGGGAAGAAGTTCATCTAGAACTAAGAAGAATGTGAAGTGCTGGAACTGCCAGGAGGTGGGACATGTTAAGAGTCATGTCCAAAGAAGAATTGAACATTGCGGTGCTGAGAGTGTGTCTGAGGATGATGCATTGATACTCAGTATGGAAAGTTCTGTGGACTCTTGGGTCATGGATTCAGGGGCTTCGTTTCACGCCATGGACAACGGGGAAACGATGGTGAATCTAAAAGAAGGAGATTTTGGAAAGGTACGTTTGGCAAATGACGAGATGCTTCAGGTAACGGGCATGGGAGATATTGATTTGGTTACTTCATTGGGAACTACATGGAGCCTGAAGGATGTCAGGGTGATTCCGGAGCTGAAGAAGAAATTGATTTCTGTTGGTCAGCTGGATAAACAAGGACTGGAAGTAAGGTTTGGTGGTGGTAAATGGAGGGTGATCAATGATAATCTAGTGATTGCTCATGGTATGAAGTGTGGGTCATTGTATATGGTTGAGGTATCTGCTGAGGGAAGTATGACCGTCCCTGTTAAGCAAGACAAATCTGGTTCGCTAAATCTACGGCTAAGAGAGTTCATTTTGCAAACATGAATTCTGGAACCAAGGGGATGTTAGCTGAACGAGTCAAAATTCTAAACCATTCAGGGGATTCTGTGACAGTGGGAGCACGGGGTGTGTTTCGGGTACAGTTACAAAGAGCCGTTGGGTTTTGAAGACTAAGACTGAAAAAGTCTCTCCTGTTGAAAGTTTGCAAAGTTGGGAGAGTGTTAGTGGTCCTCGGTGTATCTCTGGATCTGGTAGAGTGTCCAAACCGGTTGAGACAGAGGATGAGTCGGTGGTGGGATTAGCCACGACTGAGTTGGAGCTAGTGGGAGCTTCAACTGTCCCTTCTAGTACTTGAAGATGAGGGGCGGCTGCAATTAGAGAAATGGGACTAAGTTTAGCTTGTTCTTAGGAACTGGAGGCTTGGAAGACTTGGTTGTTTTAAGATTACTGGAGTTGGATGACAGAGACGGACCATGTTGTTCAAACTTTCAAGTGGGAGATTGTTAGGTAAAATATGAAAGGTTGAAAACATGCGGCTTTCACATTTGAGTACTATTGTTACGACGACTCAACATTTGCGGCTTTCACATTTGAGTACTATTGTTACGACGACTCAATTTCATGTGCAAATTGCGGCTCTCTCACCTATATATATGCATGTATGTTTTGCATATTTTGTGTGCAAAAAAAAAAAAAAAAAAAAAAAACTTGAGAGAACATCAAGTGTAGAGTGTCAAGCCAATTGTAATCTTGTGAGTTTTAATAAAATTCTCTAGTTGCAGCCCGTGGATGTAGGATTTGCACCGAATCCGAACCACGTAAAATCTTTGTGTTCTTCTTGCTTTATTTTCGTGAGTTTGTGTGTGTGTGATAGTGTGTTTCCGCTGCGTGTACCCGGTCCGGTTCCTAACAAAAACACATCCACCATCTTTGTTTCTTGGAACAAGTATTGCAAACACCAAACGACACGAACATAAACACACATCAAATCCCAGTCAACTTTATACCATAACTAAGCGCAACTGGTGCTTTTGTTTTGGCTCTTTCAACAGAACATGGAAGCTTCGTTTTCCTTCATGTTGGATCCAAAATAATCAAATGCCACTATTTAAAATGCACCTGTTGCGTCTATATACGACAAGTTAAACTCTATATAATAAAAAAGACATTGACATCATGCATCGATTCTATATTTTCTAATACAAAACGTCTAAACCAACAAATTATTTTGTGGAAATTTATGCCAAAACAAAAAGTAACTATCATAGATGACTCATAACAATTTGATCTCAATCAATATAGATCAAGAATCAATCATTATACATGGATGAAAACTATTTGTGACCATAGTCACGAGTCATGACCCGGTATCAGCATATACACGATTTTTTTCTTTCAGTATATATAATGATATACCATCATAACAAAAAAAATCCAAAAAATCATATTCAACTTTCATGCTTTCCCAGTTAGAGAACATTTTCAACCTATTTTATCCATAATAACTCTCACGTATGATTCTTGGTAGCAAAAATACATATAAAAATCTAGGGAAAATAACACATTGGCGCAACAGTGCATTTCAAATTTGTTCGTTCAGTACCTGAAGTTATTTTCGTGCTTTATGAAGGAATATGTTGTGAAGTGACCTGTGTTTTACAGATTTTTTCATCTTGGTCGATTTCTTACAAACAACAAGTTGCAGGTTTTTTTCATATAATAAAAGTTTAGAATTTTTCGAAAAAGATTTTATAAAACCAGAATATCAACGGTAACAATAAACCTACTATAATCAGTGGCAAATCATTTTTGTTACAACAATTTATTTATTTATTGATATTTTGAGAGTGCTGATTAAGAGTGGTTAATTTTTTGTTATCAATCCCATAATTTAAAATAACAAATTGATCCTAATAACTTATTTTTTTTCTTCTTTTAAAATGATTTTTTAAGACATTTTTTTAAAAAACAAACTCAAGGTAGGTCTCTTATTTTTTTCTAAGGTAGTTGCTAATTTTTCTACAATATATATTGTAAATGAAATTGAAAATTTAGGTAGGTCCTCGGGCCACTAGATACGCCCCTGACTATAATGACTAAATTGGAAAAAAAAATGAAAATAATGTAAGGACTATTTTTTAGAAAGTAATAATTATACTAATAAAGTTGTGATTTAATATATAGTATACAAAAGTGTATTGTTATTTTTATTGTTTTTACAATACACAATTTTTTTTCTTTCTAGAATATGCATATCAACATGAAATTAACAACAAAATAAATTGAATGGAAGCTTAATTGATGGTGAACCAAGTCGTACAACAAAAACATCAAAATAAGTTCCATTACTTGAACTCAGAAGAAAGAAATTAAAAACAAAATCGAAACAAAAGTTAGTGATTTTTAAATTACATTCCTACTTTGTTTCTTCAGTTTCTTTGATCTTTTCTTCTAACAAATGCCTTGATCTGCAATACGCAAGCCATCGATCCAAGTGCAATTCTTTTTCTTCAATTAATCATGTTCCTATTTACATCTACTTCTTATTAAGATATAAGTTACACGGATTCTTCTTCAATAGTTTGAGATGATTCGAGCCTATTTACTAGCAAATCCAATGCTTCTTTCATCCATGGTTGTTGACAAACTTCTTTAGCTTTTGGCACACTCACCTGTAAACCCCGATAAAGTTCATAAATTTCTTCTAAAAAATATTGATTTCTGTAAAAAAATTGAATCTTTTTTTTTGGTTTAAAAGCTTACCCAAATTCGTTGACGAATATCTTTTTCAGGCCATAAGTCGAGCTGTTCTTTCACAAGTAAAGGGAACATGTACCCTTCGTAATAGTTTTCATTGCTTTTGCTCTTGAATAACCATTTACCCAATATACGCTGTAAAAAGGTAAAAGAGAAGGTAAATAAATCGAATAATTCAAGAAAATTGTAAAGAAAGGATTGAAGAACGAACCTCAACAGTTCCGAATACTCCAGCTTCTTCTATGGATTCTCTTAGAGCAGCTTCTTTAATGGATTCATCGGATTCCCAACCTCCCTGGTAAAATTAAACTGTGTGTTAATCGTTGTTCTTCATTTCGTTTTTTTAAGAAAGTCAACTGATGCTTTTTGGGTGTAAAAAGACTTGGTATTTAAGACTAAAATGTCACTTTGTTGTTCAGGATTAGAGTCGTATATATTATATGAATTTAAATGGTGTAATACCTTAGGGAACAACATGCCTTTGCCTTTTCTTTGTGCACTAATGACAAGAACTTCTAATGAATCTTCTAAATTCTTCCCTTTGTTGGATTTTATTCTGTAAGGGATACATCTGTCACAAATTTTAAACAATACGTTAGTGAAAAATGAAAATATATCATCAAGAAACAGAGATACAGATCTTGAAATTACTTGTTCTTCGAATTAACCAAAACCTAACCAATTTCTATGAACAACTTGATTATGGGTTTCATTTTCTTCACTCAGTTTCACGAAATATCGAACATTTTCTTTCATACATCAAACAATGAACACATTTCAAAGAACCTCAAATTCCAAAAACCCCAGAAAGAAATCGAAATTACTAGTTCTTTCGAATGAGTGATAATACTTCGAATTTAGCAAAACCCAATTAATTTCTATGGATAGTTTGATTATGCGTTTCGTCTTCTTCACTCAATTTCACGAAATATGAAACATTTAAAAATGAACCCATTTCAAAATTCAAATTACCCCAAATTCCAAAAAACCCCAGAAAGAAATGCATCGGAAAGTAGAGGAAAAGGAGACTGACCCAACGATTTGACGGTGGCCCTTGTTGTATCGCTGCAATTGGCGACCTGTACGAGCAACCATGGCGACCATGTTCTTCAATTCCATTTTTGTTTAGAAAGTAAAAGATAAACCCAAATGGAGACAAATTACAAGTTACGATGTATACAGTGGGTGGATAAGAAATCAGAATTAAGAGATCTGAGTGATGGGGGAGGGAGATATGCGGCTTATTATATATATAGAGATGCATAAGATAATGCAGGGAGGTTGGAGACGATGTAAGAAGGAATCAATGAGATAACTGTGAGAGAATTGGCCCACATGCAGACACGGGATAAAAAAATTAAATAACAAAAATTTTTATTTTTAGATAAATTACAAACCAAAGTAATCCGATTAAAATAATAATAAATAAACAAATTGACGTGGCAATGAAAATATGAAAAGCGTCTTCAAATTTGCAATTTAATTATTTCAATTATTTCAATTATAAAAAATTGTCATGGTAATTTATTAGAACAATATTGTTTTGAAAAAGAAACTATTAGATTTTTGAGTATTTATGACGTTAACACAAAGTTAAACTAGTTACAAAATACAAATTAAAATTACTGAAACTTATTTTTAATCTTATCTAATAAAGTACTTTTTCCTTACTTTGTTGTCAGATATAAATTAAAGAACAATTGTTAATTGAAGACAACTAGACACGTAAAAATTAAAAACTAAATAAAAAGTCAAATTTTAAATATTTAAAAGTAAAAGGTGTTAATGACATGAAGCAAGGAAAAGGTGCGATGTATTGTTACCTGTTACATGGGTGTTTACTAGTCACGTGCGAGAGTTTTCCCCTTCCTTTTTGGACCCTTTCACGATTAACCAGCTAAAAACATAGGCTCGGCTCACTGTTTCCAGCTCACCCCCAGTTTACCTTCCTCAAAGTCAAACTCCTTTAAAAGCCGGCTCCTTGCCCTGGTTTTGTAGTTTCATTGAGTTTTTATGTCTCTACAGTTAAAAACCTAACTTTATCCGGAATGGAGCATTAACCCACAGGTGAGTTCTTACGTGGCACACTAACCCACTAGTGAACACTGCCTCAGAAGCTGTTGGGTTGGTTGTGGAGTGGTCATGCACACAGACCAAACATTGCTTGTGATTGGCTAAGCTTTTTTTAATTGTTTCTTTTGTGAAGGTTAGAATAAAGGAGGATGTGTGTGGACTAGTGATCATTTCCAAAAGTTAGTGGTTTGGTAGTGAAGAGGTAGTGGAGATGACGTGGCACATAAGTGGCAACATTTTTCTAGTGGGTTAGTGGTGACCATACCCCTTAGTCTAATTGTTGAAGAATATAATTCACTCCCCCATTATCTATAGGGGTGGTAAATGTGTTGCATGTTGTTTGTGTTTGTGTTTGTGTTCGTGTCGGGTTGAACCGTGCCGGTTCGTGTCAACTCGCTTATTGTCGTGTTGGGTTTAGGATTTAAGGTTTTGACCTCTAAATATGTTGTATCGTGCTACATTGAAGCACTAAATAGGTTGAAATAGTAAGGGTTCGAGAGTTGGAAAAAGAATAAGTGAAAAACAAGGAGTAATAGTTTTAGAGGCGGATGAGTGAAATTCACAATAAGCTTAAAGTAATGAGTCAAATTGAAAGGAAGTGGAAAAGGGAGATTGCGGAATATGAGATATTAATAAAATAATTAAAAACTAAAAAAAAGTATTGACTGGGTGGCTAATTAATGACTTCCACACAATCCAAAGTTTATTTATGTTTAGTTTTGAGTTTGGACATGTTTAGCTTATCTAAAAGATTAAAAGAATTTGCGAATTATTTTCGTGTTAAAAGTTTGGACGCTAATTCTATCATTAGTTATCTTGTCTTGTCATATCAATCAATTTAATTAAACGGGTAGAAAATATATATATATTATATATATATATATATATATATATAATATATATATATATTATATATCTATATATATATATATATATATATATATATATATGGGAAGGGTTATTTGGAAAACAAAAAAACCCTAAAAAAAATCATAAAAATGCATAAAAAAATACCTAGACATTACAAAACTTTTTTTGAATTTTTTTATCAAAAATCGCAGCCTTTTTGACAATTTCGCTGAATGAAAAAAAAAAATCAATTTCTTTTTATTTTTGTAAAAAAAAAAATTTCAGCGATTTTATGTTAAAAGCTGCGATTTTTGATAAAAAAAATCAAAAAAAAATTTGTGATCTCTAAGTATTTTTTTTATGCATTTTTTTTTGATTTTTTTAGGGTTTTTTGTTTTCCATAGAACCTAAACCTTATATATATATATATATATATATATATATATATATATATATATATATATATATATATATATATATATATATATATAATATATATAGAGAGAGCGAGAGAGAGAGAGAGAGCGAGAGAGAGAGAGCGGAGAGCGAGAGAGAGAGAGAGAAAGAGGTTATATATATATGATGTGGTATTGGACCTCATAGATGATTTGAGTGGTTTGTGCGGGTGTATCTCGGTGGAGATCTACAATCACAACAAAACAAGGTCGTCAGTCGTTCTCCGGGAGAAGGTCCAGGAGAGCACTCTGACGGTCAAGTCAGTTCCTTAGAGAACGGATAGTGTGTTTAGCGGTAAGCTTAGAGAGTTAGGGTTCAGATCCCTTTATCGTTGGAGGCGTGTGGCCTTTTATAGTGAGTACCTAGGCACGGACCCCGCTCATAGGGACAAGGGTGTCAAACCCCGATCGGGACAGAGACGCTGATTGGCGGATCGTGCCTTTGTCCCCTGTCAAAGCCGTGATTGGCTTAGCCACGGTAATGGTGTGTGCACCCATACTGGAGTTAGCATGTGACGGTTTGTCGTCTGTTGACTTTCCCACGTATGTGTCAGGCCGGATTTTGGTCATCAGGGGATGTCCCAATCCGGAATGGACTAAGTGAAGGCCAACGCTGGAAAGGTGGCGGGCTTGGCTATGCAGCCTGTGCCCTTGGTATTTCTGGCGTACCTAGGAGGCACGTTATCAAGTCTCCCTAGTCTTATCTGTAGCGGCATAGGCGTGCTTAGTTGCAACGGATGGGATTAGTCTCAAGTGACGTTTGGTCACTGTCTTTTCGGCTGCACGTTGCATCGATTTTCAGTCGTGACGTCACCCGCCATCATTAAGGTTTTCGAATTTTCTTCCCTTCTATGTTTTTATAGGCTTTTCCTCTTCGTCTTTCCACATTCTTGCTCTTTCTCCCGGTCTTTCTCTTGTTCTCTCTCTGCGTCTACGCTTTTTTTTTGTCATGGATTTTTCGATCAGCTTTGCTCCTACCCCCGATCAGTTTGCTGCTCTCCGGGAGAAAACGGCTCTCAGTCGGAAGACGATGTGACCTTTCCTTGGGAGCATGCAAACTTCATCAATCCGTCGGAGGTTCTTCATCATCATAAGGTTCACATCAATCAGTTGGTTCCTAATGGAGTAAACAAGGTGGTTGCATTCGAGATACTTTTTCAGGCTCATGGATTCAACCCTGACATGTGGGTCTTCCGCCATTTTTTCTTATTTGTCGCTGCTTCTTCCGCTGAGAGTTATATGTTCGTCATTCGGAAAGATAGTCATGCTATTGTGGTGGACCCAGTGTTGTAAAACTCGTTGAGTTGGCCGATTACTCGGCCGAGAACTCCCTACTCGACCCCTTACCGATGCGAGTTACAGAATCTAAGTACTCCCCGATCGACCCCTTACTGAAGCGAGTAGTGCTGCTAAACTCGGTGATTAATATGTATAATATACTTAATGATTTATTATTTAACACATACACATGTGATTATTACTAGATATATATATCTTAAATTTTTAGTAATTATTCACGAAGTGAAACCATTGTGTGTTTTTCAGTGTTTATATATTCACATGTATATAATTTTGTTATATATTTCAATCAACATATGGTTTTAACTTATGGTTTTGACATATTTAATTTCCCTAAAAATATTTCTAGATGAATTACCGAATCTGAGTACTCCCCGAGTACTCCTGAGTACTCCAGAGTACTCGTTACTCGGTAGTCGGCCGAATAGGTACCGAGTAGCGATTTCTACAATCATGGGTGGACCATAAGAATTCTTTGAAGAACTGGGTGAGTCGTTACTATTTGGTGAACGTTAAACGTGTGGGTTTTATGAATCGTCGAACCGCTCCGATTTTTTATCAGTCGTTTAGTCTTTACTCTGATAAGGAACAGATGGCTAGGGTTTTGCGATCTCTTCTCAAGTGGTGGCTGATGATTTTCAGAAGTATGTACTTGTTGGTGCCAGGATGAGTGTTTGGTTGTCAAACCAACAAATAATGGGATAAAATAATAACAATAAAATACAAGTCACTGCTACTACATACACTAAAGATAATATAGAGTAAGCAGGGTCGGTCCACAGGAATACGGGATTTCTTATTTAGCCATGTTCTCACACATCATACAATCAATGTTAAAATGGGGGGTTTTGTGTGACTTCAAATTGAACTTCATAAACAAACAAAATTTATACTAAAATTCAATAAGTGAAAGACATTTCCGATTCTGATTCCATTGTATGTGTTATGTTGTAGATATAATATGACTATAATTCATGTTCGATCTAGGTTGGTAATTTAGATATTAATAAACTCTAATATCCAAGTTAACAAAAATGTTTCATTTAAAATATGTTCTTCAAATAAAGCATCATTTAATTGATTCAATTCAAATAAGCTCTTGCATCAAATCATTAAATGACATTAAGTTCTTGCAACAATTACCAACAATGTCCAACATTTCTCATAAGTTCGGGAATATGAACATCTAATCTTGATTACACTAATTTTGATCTATTTACAACCAATCAAGTGCATGTTACCAACATCAATTCATAAAACATATACGAATTTCACAATTTGACTAACTAGATTAATAAGAACACTAATTCATTGATCAAGTGAAAAGAGAACCAATCAAACATATATTTAAGACCAAATCAATAATTACTAGATGATAAACATAAAATCAAGTGCAAATTACAATCTAACAACAAACACTTAAGAATCTAGAATCGAAAAATGATAGAGAAGTTAGCCATACATGGCTAAATCAAACTACAAATTCAACAAGTTTTGATCTTCAATTCAACTTACAAAATGCAAATTAAAGTGTTTCCAAAGTGCTAAGTAATGGTATGATATCCCAAAATCGCCCTCTTGAAGTCCCAAGTCGAAGTTATGTCTTAATGTGCCAACAACCCAAGATAAATCGAAAGTTACAATTTCAAAAGCCATCAGATCACGTTATACGGCCCGTGTAACGTATGCCTTGCCGTTATACGGCCGTGTAATGGCCCTCTCGTGCTAAATTACATGTGAAACACAACCGCGTAATGTATGCCTTGCCAAAGCGTGGGCCGTGTAACGCAGTACACAATAGTCAATTTCTGATTTTTTTTTCATTTCTTCAATTTAGCTCTGAAAATTCCGAAATTTCACCGAGAGCTTCCCTTGAACATCCTAAGCATGCTCCAATCTTCAAATTACCGTGCAACATCCACAAAAAATGGTGAAATATCGATAGATCCTCGATAATGTCCCTAAATGCAAAATGCAGGAAAGTTACATTAAAAATGCAATGCAGTGCTATAAATAAACATGAAATTAACCTATGAAAAGGTGCAATTTATGCACCTAACAAATCTCCCCAAGATTGAACCTTTTCTTGTCCTCAAGAAAACAAAACAAGAGTCAACCTTGGAAAAGATGAATGCAAATGCAAATATATAAATGCAAACATAGAAATAAAAAGAAAGAATGCCTCAAATTATTTATCCCGACAACATAATCATGATTAAAGAGTTGTCAACCTATACCCCATACACATACTAATGTACTGCATTCCAAATCAGGACAGTAGAAGGCATGAAACACAAACATTTCCAATCACTTGGTTTAAATGCATAGAACCATAGTATAAGGCATCCCCTAGTAACTTTTACGGACAAGGCAGGTGCATCTCCATCTATAGGGCGTGCTCACTGAAGCACTCAACTTGTGTATGCACTCATTTCACAAGATGTGTGAACTCACTCCTATCAAAGAATCTACACTCGTTATTTAAGGTGGAAGGCGCTCATGCGTCGGTAAGGCATATCCCATTCTTCTTAGTCTTATCTCCATGCTCTTCAACAGCTTGCGGTTGTACAATCTTCATATCTTCTTCCAAAACCCGTGTCAACTCTCAGCAATCCATAATAGGAGATAAATCCATGACCATAACAAGAGCGCAAAAGAAATATATACAACAACAAATATACAGAACAAGCAAAATAGAACCGTATAACATGGTTGTTGACCTCAAAATAAACTATCAATGGTAAACAAGCCAACAAAATTAAACACAAACGAATTTCCTGTGAAAATATCATCATGATAAATCTGGAAAGGCTTGGTTCAGTTCTTTTTTTTTTCAATTTTTTTTTAATTAGAAAGCAGCATGAATATGTACAAAGACTCAACTTAAATATTACAAAAGAAATGAAAAACAAACATAAATTAAACCCTCTTTTTTTTCCTTTTTTAATTTTTTATTTTTTTAAATGAAACTTGAACACAAAACTTGATAAATTGACTTTTGAAGAACCCTTTTTCAAATGACAAACATTTGTAGAGGTTTGACTTTGAAATCCGTCATTTTGATGACTTAGCGGTTTTTTGACTTTGAGAAACAAAGTCGTTTAAAATAACAATAAACTTGAAACTTCTAATATTTACAACTAGAAAACTAAAATGAAAATAATAAACAACTTTAACAACTATCTTTTGAAAAAAATCGATTTGACCTTAAAATGCATAAAGACAAATGTTGAAAAAGTTGCATAAATCCTTTTTTTTAACCAATCTTTTTGAACCAAGCGAAGATCATATATAATTCAACAAAAAGTCAATTAATCTAAACTAAATACTACAAAATAAAGTAAAAACAAACATATATACAAACGATTAACAACATAAAACTAAAAATGAAACTAGAAAAACAAACGAACTTCTGCGCCACCTTATGCCTTACCGATTCTCATAATGACGTACTCACGGGTATTTTAAAACGCCCCATATTTGATTATCACCTGCTGTGACCGGAATTATTTAAGAGGAGCTGCTTGTCATAATATACCTCAATGCACAGCCACGAAGTGAATTAGCAAATAAATGTGTTCTCAATAGTTCTAAAGTTTCACAAATTAGTGACACCACATGTATACGGGGTATAACCAAACAAAACTTTGAACTTAACCGTGTATTGTGACAAAAAGTTAAAGGCATTCTAAAGACGAGAAGAAAGAGGAGAGAAAAATTCATGAAATGACCTTAAAACCTAAATGAGAAAGAAAGATCTTTTTTTTGTATTTTTATGTTTTGTATTTTTTTAATGCAATGAATGAATATGCAACTTAATATATTATTATATATAGATATATATATATATATATATAGATATATATATAATATATATATATATATTATATATATATATATATACAACGCAATATAATACATCCCTCCCCAAGCTTAAAAATATGCATCGTCCTCAATGCTTGGGAAGAGAGCAGGACAGATTACTGAGGATTTGAGGTGGAAATGGCGGAGGATATTGATGTGGAAATTGTGGATTGTATGGTGGAGGGTAGTGTGGATATTGAGGGTAATAAGGTGGTCGTGTGGGTTGACCACCTAAATAGAGTACCCTATGCATGTCGGTCACAAGGGAATTTACATGTTGGTTGCGTGCTTGTTGATTGTCTCTAAAGGTATAGAACTCTTCTCCAAACTCCACCATATCAATATTTATCTCACAAACACTGTCATAAAGTTCAGAATAGTCACAATGCAAACGCCTATTGTCTTCATGTAACCTACAAAATTCTTGCATATACATGTCATGATAGGGATGTGTGACAGGCTCCTGCTGCACTAGCGCAACAACATCAGGTATGGTTGCATCAGGAATGGGCTCATCCTCATCCTCATCAGAATCAGGCTCAGGCATCGGACACCTAAATTGGACCTAAGGCGCCAAACAGTGTTGTGTACGGGATTGAACAATCTAAGAAGTTGGGCATTTTGATGATCAATACTGAGGTAATCATATAATAAACGACGTGTGTTTCATAATCTAGATGGAACAAATGCATATTTTGCAAGATGTTTGTTGTGAGGCGAGTTTCTCCCTCAATGATATCGAGACTGGGTGGAAAACAAATGGAAAGAGCTAGGTGTTTGAGGATAATTATGATCATACCCCCACAAAGTAATTTACCACTAGTGTTGCGAGATATTTTCAACAATTTGAAGATGATCCATAATCCAAAATCGGGAAGTTGATTTGGGTTGTGGATCATACACCACATAAGCTCTAATTCTTTTTGGCCAGCCTTGCTTATCTCATTTTGTGGAAATACAACAGAGGCAAGGATGCGATAAGGATGCGATGGGTGGCCTTAAGGACATGATGTATGATACTTGACGCTTTGGCAGCGCTTGGAACATAGTTCATTCCTAAAATTCTCTCCCAAAAATCTTTAGAATCTTCTTGAAATGGAAAATTAAATATGTGAAATGGACTATAAGTGTTAGCAATTGGAGCACCAATGAGTTCACATAATTGATTTTTATGCAACTGATAATTACGGCTGAAAGCACAGAATGAGAGATATTCGGTTCGATGATTGAAGGAAACAGACGACAAAAATTCAAGAGTAGGTTGGACATAACCAACATCATGCAATCACAACAACCCTTCCCATCCAATATTTATGAACAAAACACGGACTTGGTCATGTATATGGAGGGACTCGAGAGTGGGCATGTCCGCGAATTTATGTGTTACGCGCCTACATCCAAGAAAATTATGATACCTAGCTTCTTGTTGAGAATCTAAGAATGCCAATTCACCATAATTTTGGCGTGGAGGGTTTGGGTCATGTTGACTAACATTAGAGTCAATGACTCTAGAACGCTTGGAACTACCCTTTTTACCACCCCCACGAGATGATGAAGCCATGAGAGAAACGAAATTTAAGCACAAAAATTTGACTCTTAAGCACAGTGTACAACCACTTCAAAGGACTAACACACAAATAACACTCAATTTGATAGTTTAAGCACAAAGATTTAAGCTTTTATGACTAACAATGCAAAGTCAAGGAATTGGAAAGAGAATACCCGATTTGGAGCTTGAAACACGAAATTGTTGCTTGAAATTACTTGTAATCTCTTCCATAATGCTTCCCCAAGCTTATTCTACAAGCAATTTGAAGAAATCAAAACAAAATTTTTGGACCCCATTATCTAGGGTTCTTCAAAAATCCGAAAAATCACCATTGTAATGGTGTTTTGGAGTTGCTTGAGTGTAAGGAAGAAGAAAGGGGGTTGAAAAATCATACCTTGCTTGCTTAATTCCATGGAAAAATCGAAGATTGGAGTGTTGTGTGAAGAAAGGAATGAGCTACAATTTTTCTTTTAAAAACTCGTTCTTTTTTTACACAGACCCCGTTACACGGCCCGTGTAATGGTAAGGCCAACGTTACACAGTTGTGTTTCGGAGACTTCTTGATACAAGTTTTGCATTACACGGCCGTGTTTTGCAAAGGCATTCATTACACGACCCGTGTAATGTTCTAAGAAACGCACCAAAAAAATTTATTTTCACATCCGCTCACTTCCAATCTTCAAAAAAATTATTTTTAGATTCCCTTAATTATTCTAAGAACCTTGGAACACAAAAACTTGAAAGAAATTGTCCATACAAAAATTTGTACAAAAATGACCAAAATACCCCCAAGTTACCTCTCGGGTAGCTGCCCTTGTTTAAAGTCGGTCGCTCGACATGGACCCCAATTATTTGTCAATCTTGGTACTTTGGATCCCCTACTTCCTCCACTTCCTCGTTTTTTACTTCAAATCCTTCATAATAAGGCTTTAAATGACGACCGTTTACCTTAAAGATCTTCCCGGTTTTCTCACTTGTGATTTCTATTGCACCATGCTCAAAAACATTAGTGACAACAAATGGTCCCACCCAACGGGACCTTAATTTACCAGGAATTAATTTGAAACAGGAGTGCTAAAGTAATACCTTTTGACCTTTTTCAAATACCTTGCATGAAATCATCTTGTCATGGTATGTTTTTGTCTTTTCTTTGTAAAGAACTTCATTCTCATATGCTTCATTGCGGATCTCCTCAAGCTCTTGTATGTCAAGATTTCTCTTCTTTCCCAATTCATTTAAATCCACATTAAATTGCTTGGCTGCCCAATAGGCTCTATGCTCCAACTCAACGGGTAACGGCATGGTTTTCCAAAAACAATGCGGTATGGAGACATCCCAATTGGAGTTTTGAATGCAATGCAGTATGCCCACAAAGCATCATCAAGACGAGTACTCCAATCTTTCCGTGTTGTATTGAAAATTTTCTCCAAAATACCTTTGATTTGTCGATTGCTCACTTTGGCTTGTCCATTTGTTTGTGGATGGTATGCTGTGGAGACTTTATGAGTAACACCATACTTCTTCAAGACACTTCCAAGCATACGATTGCAAAAATGTGAACCACGATCATTGATTAAGGCTTTTGGAACACCAAATCTAGAAAAGATGTTAGCCTTCAAAAAATCTATCACAACTTTTGAATCGTTAGTACGGGTGGCTTTTGCTTCCACCCACTTAGAAACATAATCCACAACCAAAAGAATGTAAGTAAAACCCGAAGATGATGGGAAAGGTCCCATGAAATCAATGCCCCAAACATCGAAATTTTCACAAACTAAATGGGATTAAGGGGAATTTGATTCTTTGAGCTTAAAGAACCCATCTTTTGACACTTATCACAGCTTGCACAAAAAACATAAGAGTCATGAAAAATACTTGGCCAGTAAAATCTACTCTCTAATACTTTTCTTGCAGTTCTTTGAGGACCAAAATGCCCTCCACAAGCATAAGAGTGACAAAATGTTAACATAGAAGATACCTGATGTTCTTCCACACATCGTCTAATCATTTGATCAGCACAATATTTCCACAAATATTGCTCATCTAATACGTACCTCTTGGCTTCTTTCTTGATTTTGTCTTTTTGCCATTGAGTCAAGTCTGGTGGAAATTGATTTGTGACAATGTAGTTTACAATATCGGCATACTATAGGGCAACTTTTGCTGAAAATAGATTCTCATCGGGAAATGCATCATGAATAGGAGTTGAGTCATCGCGGGAGACAATCTTACTAAGATGATCAGCCACAAGGTTTGACTTTCCACTCTTGTCCTTGATTTTAATATCGAACTCATGTAAGAGTAAAACCCATCGAATGAGTCTAGGCTTCGACTACTTCTTTGCAAGTAGGTATCTAATAGCTGCATGATCAGAATAAACAATCACTTTAGAACCTAACAAATATTGATGGAATTTCTCTAATGCAAAGACAATAGATAGCAATTCTTTCTCAGTTGTTGAGTAATTGGCTTGTGTATTATCAAGTGTCTTTGAGGCATAATAAATGACATGGGGAACTCGATCTTTTCTTTGCCCCAACACTGTGCCAACCACATGATTGCTAGCATCACACATGATTTCAAATGGCAAACTCCAATTCGGTGATTGAAGTATTGGTGTTGAGATTAACAACTCCTTCAACTGATCAAAAACTTGCTTGCACTCCTTGGAAAATTCAAATTCGGCATCTTTTTGTAGGAGCTCACACATGGGACGAGATATATTGGAAAAATCTTTGATGAATCTTCTATAAAAACCTGCATGACCAAGAAACGAGCATACCTCGCGAACACAAGTGGGGAAAGGTAAAGACTTAATGACATCTATTTTTGCTTTGTCTACCTCTATACCCTTATAAGACACAACATGACCAAGTATAAGACCTTTATCAACCATAAAATGACAATTTTCATAATTCAAAACAAGGTTGGACTCAATACATCTTTGCAAGATCTTTTTTAAATTACCCAAACATTCGTGAAAAGAATTGCCATAAACAGTGAAATCATCCATAAATACTTCAATGATTTCCTCAACGTACTCCGAAAAAAATACTTACCATGCACCTCTGAAAAGTGGCAGGAGCATTGCAAAGTCCAAAAGGCATCCGCCTATATGCAAATGTTCCGAAAGGACATGTGAAATTGGTTTTTCTTCATCCTCGGGTGCAACGGGTATTTGTTGGAAATCGAAATACCCATCCAAGCAACAATAGTGTGTTTTTCCGGCTAACCTTTCCAACATTTGAGCAATGAAGGGACGTGGGAAATGATTTTTCCGGGTTGAGGAATTGAGTCTTCTATAGTCTATGCAAACTCTCCACCCGTTTTGCACACGAGTGGGGATTAATTCACCCTGGTCATTCTTTGTAATGGTAATACATGTCTTCTTTGGTACAACTTAGACCGGGATTACCCACTTGTTATCCGGTGTAGGATAGATCATTCCTGCATTCAACAACTTCATAATTTCTTTCTTCACAACCTCCATCATTGGAGGGTTCAAGCGTCTTTGAGCTTCTCGGGAAGGTTTGTAGTCTTCTTCCATAAAATCCTGTACATGCAAAGTGAAGGAATTAGCCCTTTTATGTCGGCTATAGTCCACCCAATGGCCTTTTTATACTCCTTCAAATTGGTGACAAGCTCTTCTTCTTCCTTTGTTGTCAATTTTGTGGAAATGATCACGGGTAAAGTCTCTTTCTCTCCAAGATACGCATACTTGAGATGCTCGGGTAAAGTTTTGAGTTCCAATTCGGTTGCCTGCACAATAGAAGGAACAAGTTTCTCATTAGGAATTGATAATTTCAGTTTTGGAACATCAAACCTTATTTTCTTTTTTTTATCCATGCAAGATACAACTTCCATAATCTCTTCATCGATTTTGAATTGCTTCGAAAGTTTGTCCACTCCATCTTTTTGAAGATTCTTGTCTAAAATTAGAGCTAACACATCGAGATTAGACAAATCAAAACACTCTTCGGTTGATGGTTCAATGACATCCACAAAATTCAAATATGAAATATCACTTGGATATCTCATAGCATCATAAATGTTGTAATTTATCACCTTTCCATCAAATTCCATGGACAATGTACCATCATAAACATCAACTTTTGTCTGGGCTGTTTTCAAAAAGGGTCTTCTTAGAAGAATTGAACTCAAATTTGGTGAGTCATCATCATCCATGTGAAGGTCATAAAAATCCTCTGGAAATACAAATTCATTCACTTGAACTAACACATCTTCTAGCACACCTTTTGGATGTACTAAAGATCGGTCAGCCAATTGAATGATTACCCCGGTCTTCTTCAATATGCCAATATTTAATGTTTTAAAAATAGAATATGAAAAAACATTGATAGAAGCTCCACGGTCTAGCATAGCTTGTGGAACATGAAGATTACCTAACTTGCAAGGAACCCTGAAAACACCCGGGTCCTTACATTTTTGACGTAATCTTTTCTGTAACACTACAGATACATTTTCACCTACTTTGACCGTTTCATTCCCTTTTAATCTTTTCTTAGATGTGCATAATATCTTAAGGAATTTAGCATAACTTGGGACTTTTTTGATGGCATCAATTAGAGGAATATTTACCTCAACCTTTCTGAACATCTCCATGATCTCATTGTTTTCCCTCTCATGCTTAGACTTGCTTAACCTTGTGGGAAATGGAGGAGGAGTGACTTTTAATTTAATGGGTATTTGCTTTGAAGGTACTTTTGACTTCTCTTCTTCTTTCTCTAACTCCATCTCTTCTTCTTCAATCATATTTGGACCTTCGTATTCTTTTCCATTCCTCAAAGTGATGGCACATGCATTATGCTTTGGGTTCTTTTCGGTTTGTGCAGGTAATTTGCCTTGTGACTCCAATTTACTCACAGAAGTGGCGTGTTGAGTCATTTGTTGCTCCAAAGTCTTGATACTCGCCTTAGTTTCATTTTTAAATGTTTGAGTACTTGTGGCTAAACTCTTAACAAAATATTCCAAAGACATTCCTGATCCACTTGAACTACTTCCTTGTTGCATGTTTTGAGGTTGGAATTGAGATTGATGAGGAGGTTTATTGGGTTGGAAAGTTGGTTGATAATTTTGTTGGTGATGCATTTGATTTTGATATTGAGGTCTTTGTTGATAAGGTGGTGGCCTTGGCTGAAAATTGGCATTGGGTTGATGCCAATTCAGATTGCTTCTTGGCTGAAAGTTTCCTTGTTGTTGATTAAGAAAATCCCATAGCTTGAACGGGATCTATATCTTCTTGTAACATTGGTCACATATCAGTGGGGTATCCAACTTGGGTACAAATACCACAAAGTCTAACTGTTGGTGCTTGCACACCCTTGTCCTTAGCAAGCATCATCACCACTTTAGTCAACTCAGAAAGTTAACTCTTAATTTTTGGGGTAGAAATTTCTTTCACTGCTCTAAGTGCATCACTGTACCATTCTTCTTCTTTAGTTGTATGCTTGGACTCTTCTGCCATGTTTTTTATAAGAGCTCTGATTTCTGTAGGATTTTTATCAGCTATTGATCCACCACTGATGCATTTAGCAATCTTTTATCCTAAGATGACATTCCTTCATAAAAATATTACAACAATTGATACTCTGAAATCCCATGTTTTGGACATCTTGAACACAACTTCTTGATCCGTTCCCAATAAGTATGCAAAGCTTCTCTTTTCTGTTGCTTAATACCAATGATTTCTCTGCGTAAGGCTGAAGCTCTCATTTCTGGAAAATATTTGTCCAAAAATATCCTTGCAAGTTCATTCCATGTTATGACTGACCCCGGTGGTAAGTCATATAACCACTCTTTGGCTTAATCTTGTAAAGAAAAGGGGAATGCCCTTAACTTTATTTGAACTTTAGTGACTTCATGTGGTTTCATCCCCACACAAACAACATGAAATTCCTTAAGGAATTTGTGTGGGTCTTCATTCTCAAGACCACAGAATGAAGGCAACAAATGAATGAGTCCGAATTTGAGTTCAAAGTTTATTGTTGCAGGATAATTGATGCATAATGGTTGTTGGGTAACATCTTGGGTAGCCCACAGTCTAAAGGTTTGTTCAGGAGGTGGATTTGGAGGATCTTGATTTCCTCCATGGTTGTCTACCATGGTAGGAGTAGGGATAAAAGTTTCAGACTTGGGTAAAGGTGAAGATGGTGAAGTCGAATTTTTCGATGTTGGTGAAGATGTGGTTGAAGGATTTGATGAAGAAGCTACTGATTGTTGTTGTTTCTTTAAAACTCTTGCTTGGTTCCTTCCTTGTTTTGCAGATTTCTCTATCTCCAAATCAACTGGTAAAGGTGTACCTGTGCAAAAAGATCTTGGCATAAACAATTAGTACTACCATATCCCCGACAATGGCGCCAATTTGTTTGGTTGTCAAACCAACAAATAGTGGGATAAAATAATAACAATAAAATACAAGTCACTGCTACTACATACACTAAAGATAGTATAAAGTAAGCAGGGTCGGTCAACAGGAATACGAGATTTCTTATTTAGCCATGTTCTCACACATCATACAATCAATGTTAAAATGGGGGGTTTTGTGTGACTTCAAATTGAACCTCATAAACAAACAAAATTTATACTAAAATTCAATAAGTGAAAGACATTTCCGATTCTGATTCCATTGTATGAGCTATGTTGTAGATATAATATGACTATAATTCATGTTCAATCTAGGTTGGTAATTTAGATATTAATAAACTCTAATATCCAAGTTAACAAAAATGTTTCATTCAAAATATTTTCTTCAAATAAAACTTCATTTAATTGATTTAATTCAAATAAGCTCTTGCATCAAATCATTAAATGACATTAAGTTCTTGCAACAATTACCAACAATGTCCAACATTTCTCATAAGTTCGGGAATATGAACATCTAATCTTTGATTACACTAATTTTGATCTATTTACAACCAATCAAGTGCATGTTACCAACATCAAATCATAAAACATATACGAATTTCACAATTTGACTAACTAGATTGATAAGAACCCTAATTCATTGATCAAGTGAAAAGAGAACCAATCAAACATATATTTAAGACCAAATCAAAAATTAGTAGATGATAAACATTAAATCAAGTGCAAATTACCATCTAACAACAAAAACTTAAGAATCTGGAATCGGAAATGATAGAGAAGTTAGCCACACATGGCTAAATTAAACTACAAATTCAACAAGTTTTCATCTTCAATTAAACTTAAAAAATGCAAATTAAAGTGTTTCCAAAGTGCTAAGTAGTCATATGATCTCCCAAAATCGCCCTCTTGAAGTCCCAAGTCGAAGTTATGTCTTAATGTGCCAGCAACCCAAGATAAATCGGAAGTTACAATTTCAAAATCCATCAGATCACGTTACACGACCCGTGTAACGTATGCCTTGTCGTTATACAACCGTGTAATGGCCCTCTCGTGCTGAATTACATGCAAAACATGGCCGCGTAATGTATGCCTTGTCAAAGCGAGGGTCGTGTAACGAAGTACAAAATAGTCAATTTTTGATTTTTTTTTCGTTTCTTCAATTCATCTCCGAAAATTCCGAAATTTCACCGAGACCTTCCCTCGAACATCCTAAGCATGCTCCAATCTTCAAATTACCCTAAAACATCCACAAAAAATGGTGAAATATCGATAGATCCTTGATAATGTCCCTAAATGCAAAATGCATGAAACTTACACTAAAAATGCAATGCAATGCTATAAATAAACATGAAATTAACCTATGAAAATGTGCTATTTATGCACCTAACAATGAGTACTTGGTGGCGAGTCTGTGGCAAGATGCCAGAGTTTTATGTCATGGTGAAAGGTATTTGGCTATTATTATTTAGCGTTTTTCTATCACCTTCTCTTTCTCTTCTTCTTCCCTTCTCCCCCTCCCCCTTTTTTTAATGGAACTACCTCTATTAGGTGTGGAGAAAAGGGTTGATTTCCTCGATGTGTTGGCTAAGAAATGGGTTGGTAGTCTTCGGTTTCATGAGGTGGATCTTACTGATAGGGTTTTACCATCTTTTTCTTTTTGGAATGAAGTGTTTATTACCCGGGCTGTGGCTGTTCAGGATGCTGAGCGGCGAAGGGATGTGGTGAAGCCTTCTCGATCTGCTTCGATTGATCTTGTTGGTGTGGACGGAGCTGTGGAGTCTTCTAGGAAGAGAGTTGAGGAGAAGGAGTTCATGGAGGATAACAAAGAAGGGATTATTCCCATGGTGAACAAGGGTAAGGCTGCTTGGCAAAGTGTGAGTAGTGCTGATACCAAGGGGCTTGCACTTGTGCGACGTTTACGGCCGCATCGGATAGTTGGCAACAGCTCTCACATTTCCATTGTTCAAGTTGATGATATAGATATTCCAGACGATGCGAATATGGAAAAGGTAGATGCTCATGTTTCAAGTGCGCATGTTGATGATGTTGTCGTGGGTCAGACTACTGTTCCTGGTAATTCTCAAGGTGGGGATGGGGCTGGTTTTGGAGGTGGTCAATTTCTTGGTTTTTGCCATGGTGAAGTTGTTTTGGGTGCTGAGAGTGAAGGGATAAGATCGAATGATGTGGAGTTTTGTCTTCATTAGTCTCTAACGGATGCTTCTCGCCTTTCTATGTTTGAAATAGCTGTTGATTTTACACGGAATGTGTTGTCTCCTGGTACAACTTCTGAGATGGTTGGATACTCTCTCCTTGATTTTGTAGGTTCCCTTCAATTTTCTGCACCCCAAAGTGCTTGTTTCTTTGTTGAGGGTGAAAACCATCTGGAGCATTTTTTTACTGTTGATGAAGAGAGGAATTGGTTGCAGAGGTAGATGCACACCTTGCATTCAGAGCATGTTATGCTATTGTCTTCTTGGTCGGAGTTGCAGCAAAAGGTTGTACATCTGGAGGGTGATTTGTCTGGAATGAAAAAAAGTTGTGGGAGAGAGGGAGGCGCTGGAGGAGAAGCTTGTTGAGTTGAAGCGTGAAAAATATGCTCTTGGTGCTATTGTTGGTAAGTTTAAGTAGGAGAATAAGGATTTGAACATTCAATTGGAGAGTATTGAGAGAGATATGGTATAAAAAGATCGACTTGTTGTGGAGAAAACAATGGCGGTTGATCGCTTGGAGGGGGACTTGGGTTGGGTTATGAGAGAGGGTCTTTCTGGGGTTGCTAATCAGGTTTTGGAGAGTAAGGATTTTGGTTGTGGTGTGAAGCAGTTTTGTGAAGCTTGTGTTGCGGCTGGGAAAGCTTTGGGGTGTTCGTCAGGTGCGGCAGCTAATGCAAGGAGGTGGCCATGTGGCAGATATGCCTAAAGGTGATGTTGACTGTTATGCGGAAATTGATGAAGCTTTGGATGAATTAGCATGTGTGGATTATGCATCAGTGCTGGGGTTGGGAGAGTTGGACGTTGATGGCTTGAAGTGATTGATGCAGCTCGATGGTGGTGTTGACCCTTAATGTTTGTTTGTTTGTTTTTTTCTTTTTTTGCTTAGAATTTTGTTGTTTCTGTTTGGAATGCTTTATTTGGAGGGTATGTAAGCCTATTTAGGCGTGTGCACATGTTGGATGACCTTCTATGGATTTTATGTTTGTGTTAAATCCCTGGTTGTTTGTTGTTTTGTGTAAAATCCTTGTTGAACAGCTTCTAGTTTTCTTTTGATATTTGTTTGCTCCGAACTTGTGAATTAAACATGTTTCAGCCGCTAGAATTCAGGCTTCTAGGATGTTTAATCGAATTTCTTCAATGTGAGCTTCATAAACCTTTGATAGTTTATTAATTGGAGAAGTGGGGAGAGTCATATTCTTGGATTCTTTAGTCTAGTGGCTTAAGCGTGTGTGTTTATCCGGACCTCGAATGAGTCGAGGAGATGCATTTTAGCCTTAAACTACGATGGGGCTCCAAGTTGGGTGTTTAGGGACCCTTTGCTGTTTGGAAAGGTAGATCGAGACGTTCGAGCCGTGCAACAGGTTTTTGGGGACTTTGGGATCTTTTTTACAACGTAAGGCAAGTCTAATCCAAAAGATCCGGGACCTTTTTGACAATGTAAAACAAGTCAAAGCCAAAGGCTTTGGGACCTTTTTGACGCTTGGAAGAGTAAGTCGAGGCTTTTAGCCTCAACACGTAGGCAGGTCAAAGCCAGGGGCTTTGGAACCGTTTTTTCGCCTAGAAGAGTAAGTCGAGGCTTTTAGCCTCAAGACATAGGCAGGTCAAAGCCAGGGGCTTTGGAACCATTTTTCTGTCTAGAAGAGTAAGTCGAGGCTTTTAGCCTCAAGACATAGGCAGGTCAAAGCCATGGGCTTTGGAACCATTTTTCCGTTTGATAATCACATGTGAATTTATTAGTGCACTTTGAATATTGTCGACTAAAAGAAAAGTTTTCATTAATTGCATATCGGGAGGAGAGGGTGATCAGCCCTTCCTATCTTACATGCTTTTGAAAAGAAGAAACATAAAGGTAAGCATAGGATGCGAATAAAGTTGTTCTTCTATGCATGAATTTCACCAGTAGAATCGCTGTAGATTCTGGATGTTCCAAGTTCTTGGGATTGGCCTCCTTTTTAATGTTTCCAATACGTATGAGCCTTTCCTATGGGTTTCTATGACTTCGTAGGGCCCATCCCAGGATGGTTCGAGCTTGTCGCAACGCTTGCCTTGTATGCTGCTTGCCATAATGTTGGTGTGTGCCTTTTTTCTTCTGTTAAATTGAGGTTGACCCGAAGTTCTTCATCGTTCGTGTCGTTGTCAAAGGATTGTACCTCTGGTGTTTCTATGAGTAGCTCTTGAGGTAGGACGGATTCTGTTCCATATGCCAGGCTGAAAGGTGTTTCCTGGGTTCCTACGCAGGGGTTGTTCTATATGACCATAACATTGTGGGTACTTCATCTACCCAATTCCCTTTTTTCTTACCCAATCGCTTTTTGATTCCGGCTACTAGGGTCCTGTTGGAGACCTCTATCTGCCCGTTAGCCTCGGGATGGGCAATGGAAGTGAATCATTGTTGTATGTTACACTCCTCGCACCATTGTCTAAAGGGGTTTTCAACGAACTGTTAACCGTTGTCGCTGACAAGTGTCTTTGGAGTTCCGAAATGCGTGAGGATATTTTTCCACATGAATTTGATCATGATACTGCCATTTATGGATGTAATTATTCTACTTCTATCCATTTTGTGAAGTAATCCATTGCCACGACCAAGAAGTTGACCTTCCCTGGGGCTTCTGGGAAAGGTCCCACAATATCTATTCCCCATTTGTGAAAGGCTAATGGGCTAGATATGCTGGTTAACAGGGTTGTCGGTAAGTTTTGTATGGGTGCAAACTTCTGTTATTCTCTGCTGTCACACCCCCAAACCAAGGATGGCGGAAATGTCCGGGGGTGGAGGACTTCATGTATAGTATCATAACAACAATTGTAATAGTAATTCAAGCAAACACAACCAACATATATATAATTGAAAAAGTTACATCATTGTATGAATTACATGTTTACGAATCAATTACAATATGTTGACAAAATATGAAATAGTAGACGCCTTAGCGTCCCATCCTCAAAAGCACTTGATTACCTGTTTAATGATTTCCTGAGAATACAAGTTGTTTGAAAAAGTGTCAACACAAAGGTTGGTGAGTTCATAAGCTTTTGTTTGGTATTATTAAAAGCCTTTCGTTTGTAAAAGTAGTATTTGTGTTAGAAAATCCAATATTTTCCTTAATGTGTAAATGTAGTCTTAAAACCCAAAGACCGAAATGTACAAGTAATTTGTCATATTTATAGTAAAACAATGCAAGTTTAAATCGACATAAACTCGTTAAATATTAATGAAGTTCCCGTAAATTCCAATGTTTATTAATACTTTATGTGAGTTTATTATAACCATACTATGACCAAGGTTGCCTAAAACGACGTTCTTCAGGCGTCGGAAATGTTATGACATTTGTCACCCCAGACCTATCGGTCTAACTGTTGCATGCAGTTTAGGTGTGGGTTTGTCAAACCCAATATAGATCTATACACAAGTATCACGCTCTCCCTCAAGGAGACTTTGGTTACAATACAGGACTTAATGGTAATTTGAAGTAAATGTCTCACAAAGTCATTAACGGAATTACGTGTTATGAAAACTTGGTACCGTATGGCCGTACCTTGCTTAATGAAAATATCCTTTGTATAAATGTACCCTTTTTAAATGTATGTGTTATGTAATGTATCATAAACTATACCTATTATAGTTTATCAACCAAGGGTAGTACGTAGTAATGTATGCAAACTATATTCAAAATAGTTTATTAAATGTTTGAATGTATCGATTGTACTTTGATTATAATCACTTGTTATTCTTTATATTTTATATGTCCAAATCCATTTGTAAACTGATGTGTGTCTAAATATTAAGATAAAATGTCATATATTGCAATAACATATAATCACATAAAGATATACACCTTGCTCAACATGTTACAAGGTGAAATGAAATTAACAGCAACTTTTCGTTGAAAAACAGTTTCTGTTACTGTCCTTAGAAAATTTATAAAAAAATCATCAAAGCTCTAAATCCAAATCCACAAACTTTGAGAGTTTGGAATATGAGTCTAGTTTGTTCGTAAATTTTATCATGATTTTTAGTGATCTCTAACAGAGGTGAAAATGTTCATAATCACAGACTGGTCCGGGTTTGCCTCTGAAATGACAGGCAGTTTTGTAAAAATCACCATAAATTGTAGAAAAATCATATGGAGATGTGCAAGTAGCCATTTTAAAGCTAAGAGTTTGAACTACTTGCACCTGGAACAGTTTTGAAAACTAAAATATTTAAGTTGACCAAAACAGTCCGTGATTAAAGCCCATCTTTTCTGATGTAATCTGTTAGAAAAAGTTTAATTGTGTTCTTGATGATTTTACTTGTATCCCCCCCTTAAAACTTAAGAAAAACATGTAAATGTAGGGGTATGAACTCACCTTATGTGGTTTCAGTAGATGAAAGTGAGAGAGAGGAAGTGTTCAACCCAAGAACACTAAGAAGATGTCTTGATGATTCGAGAATCTAACACCGAATAAGATGGAACTTGTGTAAGATATCAATGATTTGAGTAGAATGGAGTTTAATAATTATGTGAATGATGAAGATACTTACTAATTGAAGAAAGAAATCCCTCGAGAAAGCCTTGAAGTTCTTGAAGTTGAGAGAAAAGATGAGAGAATTTTGGAGAGTGTTCTTGGTTGCTAAGTGTAGAATGAAAGAATTTTATGGAGAATGAGGAGAGAGGATCAATCCTCCAGCTATTAGAACGTGGGAAGAGCTGGAGATTGGGTGTAAAGGTCCACTAAGGAGACAAGGGGTAGTGGGAAAGAGTGGCTAATCATAGAGTGAGGTGGTGGTGGTTTGCTTTTGCCATAAATTAAGGAAAAGCAAATATTCTCTCAATAATTAGTTCAACCACTAATTCTTTTAATATATTTTATAAAAACCCTGGAGATTTATATATTTTGGGGCCTTAGTTTATAAAATAAAGTTTTGGGTAAAAATCCCACGTTAAAATAATGAAAAACGGAGTTAAAACGAAGTCGTAGTCGAAAAACCGGTAAAAAGGGGCCGTCTGCGAGACCTCTCGCATGGGGGCCGAAGATGCGAGGCTTCGGACCCTTGCATGCGTGGCCTCGGTCGGCTGGCTTCGGTCTACTGGCTTCGGTCTGCTGGCTTCGGTCCTAGTCTCGTGAGAAGCCTCGGCTTCGGATCAGAGGCCTCGGATGGGAGGCTTCGGTCCTGAAGCTTTGGTTGCGGGTCCTTAAAGCTATTCTACTCGTTTTTACCCCGTTTCAAGCGGTTTTTGACCCGGTTAAGGGTCGAGATGACCCAAATGATTACAAAAAGTTAAAGTAACTTTTGAGAGAGATTTGGGAGAGATTTGGGAGAGATTTCAAATAGAAAGAGATAGAGTGAAAACGATTTAGAGAGGTTTCGTTTGTGATTAATTTGAGTGTCCGGCTTCACAACGCAAGGTTCGTAAACCCCGTTAAACCGTATTTTAGTGTCATACACAATCCCGATGATTGTGCAATAGTGTTTTATCGTTTTGGTTCAATGTTTACTTAGGAAATTCAACACACGAACTTTCCAAATGATGTTTCTCTCATTAAGATATTGCATTGTACAGTAATTACATAGTGTAAACCCTAATATACAAGGGTTAATTGAGTCGATTGGTTTTGACTTGTTGACTTTGTTTGACTTTGACTTGACTCAATTTTGACGGTTGTCACATCTGCATCGTCTTGTCACTTTAACCGCGTCCTTGTAAATGTCGGGCCAATAAATTCCAATGCGGAAAATCTTCCCAGCTAACGCCCTGGCTCCTTTATGTGCGCCTGCCTCTCCCAAGTGTGTTTCTTGGAGTATGGTTGCACCTTCTTGCTGTGTTACACATTT